TCAGCTCTCCTCGCTCTCCCCCCTCTCTGATTTTTCTCCATCCTTGGGGCGACATCCTTATCCATCTCCTTCCTGATTTTATCACTGGGGGTGACAGAGTTATTCTCACTCGATCCACGAAGGACTGAGGCTTCCTGGCTCTCAGGCGGGCAAGCCCCTGTGCGGTGGGTACAGAGAAGGATGGCTCGGAGTCGAATTCCCCTTCGAAATCAACTGCTATCTCCCGTTCCTTGGAGTAAGGGGTCCGCGCACACTTTCTAGAAAGGTCCAGTAATTGGTGGGGGGGGGGTCTTGCGGTCGCCCGGATGCCTATTTGACTCTATCAGTGCCACTGGCACCTCCGTTGACAGGGGGTTAGAAGAGGATGGTGCCAGGAAACAGTGCATGGGCACAGCTGTTTGAATGTCAGGTTCTGTTTCCATGCCACTAACTCTCATCCTTGGGATCTCTGGGAACCATCTGAAGGTGTAAAACCACCTTTAGCTCATGGTCACATGACAGCAGGCTGTGGACTACAACCAGAACCCGGATCTGCATGTCCCTGCTCTGTCAGACCCCCAGTGTGGACGATGGGGGTGGCCTGGGGCAGTGGGGGCCAGGACCCTTGGGCAGCCTGTCCCGGGTTCACCCCACATCCCGGCGGTGGAGAAAGATGCTGTTCCCCATGGCTCTGCTTCCTTGGCGGGGGGATGTGCTGTACCCCCACCAGGCTCTAGTGATTTCAGATGAACCCGAGGGGCGTGTCCCTGGGGCTCAGAAACTGGGTTTCCTGTTCCCCCAGCCCCTGTTCTGAAGCCCGGGAGGCGCCCAGAACAGGACTCGGGCGCAGCTCAAGGCTCCAGCACCAGCTGTGCTTTGCAGATCTGACTGGTCCCACTGTGCGGCTGCCGGGAGCCACAGCACCAAATGGAGGGGATCCCTCGAGAGCACCCACAGCGGAGTGCCTGTGGATCTGTCGGGATGCCGCGGGGCTCCCCGGCTGCAGGCCAGGCGGGTCCCATCAGGGTCCCAGGCAGGCTGTGCCTCTGGGTCTGTGGCTGTCGAAGTGGCCCCTTGCCCGACAATCTCTGTGGTTCTCTTCATCTCTTCATGCAGTGGGTCGGCTCGGCCGTCTCCTCTGCCCGCCCATCACCTGGATTCTAGTTGTCCCTACCCAGCTGTTCTCTACCAGGGTTGGGTCCCTTCCACGCTCAGCTGCGTCTACAGTTACCCACCCGGCAGGGAAGCGGGAACCACCCCCGCCCCACCAGCTTCCCCCAGTCTTCACCGAGGGTCAGAGCCGTCTGCACTTCTTTTTGTTTGTCTGTTTTGTTTTTGTTTGGGGGCCACACCCGGCGATGCTCAGGGGCTCTGCGCTCAGGAATGACTCCCGATGGTGCTCAGGGGATCCTGGGGGATGCCGGGGATCGAACCTGGGTCAGGTGTGTGCAGGGCCAGCCCCCTCCCCCCTATGCTCGAGCTCTGGCCCCTGTCTGCGCTTCGAGACCCTCCTCCCTCCATCTTCTCCCTCTTAGACCCAGCGTACCTGGGGGCAGGAAGGACCCGGACATTCTGTGGGGTGATGTCCAAGCCCCTCCGCCTTAGCAGCTCTAGGAAGGGGAAGAAACCCCTCTTGCTCGCTGAGTGTAGCAAACAGCTGGGACTGCCTAGCCAGGAGGCGACTGCCCAGAAGTTTCTAGAGAACCCGTGCAAGGGGCAGCAGGGGGCGTCTGCCCTCCCAGGTGCCAGCAACGAGCCCCCCAGTCCCCGAGCCCCTGGCGAGGAATCGGAGTCACACTCAGGCTTGTGGCCCGCGGTGCCTCTGAAATCAGTCGTCTCTCGAATCAGCACCTGCTTTTATTCCACACCCTCTCCAGGCTCCCGGGTCCCTCTCCAGCCTTTCGTTTTCCTCAATTTACAGAAGTAACATGTGTGGAAGAGAATTAGGAGTTAGGAAATTCGAATTAGGAAACGAAAGTTATGGGGGAAAGGTACATAGCTAGAGAAACATCTTGCCCAACTTGTAAAAGCCCCTAATCCCACTCCCTGAAGGTGCCGCGATAATGCCCCGGAGTCGTTCCTGTCTGCAGGTTTTAATGCATATAAAGTAGGTGGTTTGCTTTTAGGGTGTGCTAATACAGTTGTAAGGTTTACTGTTCAGAGAGGGGGAAAAAGGAAGGAATGAAGGAAGAAAGAAGAAAGGGAAAGGAAAGAAAGAAAGAAAGAAAGAAAGAAAGAAAGAAAGAAAGAAAGGAAGAAAGGAAGATAAAGGAAAGGAAGGAAGCAGAAAGGGGAAGGAAGGAAGAAAAAGAAAAAGAAAGAAAGACAGACAAGAGAAAGGGAGAGAGAAAAAGAAAAAGGGAAGGAAGAAAAGAAGGAAGATAAAAGAAAAGAGAAGGGAGAAGGAGGAAGCAAGGAAGGAAGGAAGGAGGGAGGGAGGGAGGGAGGGAGGGAGGGAGGGAGGGAGGGAGGGAGGGAGGGAGGGAAGGAGGGAGGGAGGGAGGATGGTAGGTAGGTAGGTCTGACCCAGGATTGCGGTGTTTGTATGTCCAGTCCTAGAGGCCGTTCTCTCTGCACTTCAAGTCCCTGCTTGGAGAAGCTTCTGGAAGCTTCATCACTCGCTGAACAGGCACGGGCTCCTGGTCCTCTGGAAGAGGCTGGCCAGGCCTCTCCCAGTGACCACTGCCACTGGAAGTAGGATCAGGTGGGGTCCTTGGTTCTGCCCTGAGCCCTCTCTGTGTCGGGCAGCCAAAAGCCTCGGGTCCTCCTCCCCCGTCCCCGTCCCCCGACCTAGCTGTCTCTGCGTGGCTGCTGGGGGACCCCGAGTTCCGCCCAAGTCTGAAATGTGGAGGTGGGCAGGAGGGGGCAGTGTGCGGGCTGGGCGGAAGGACAGATTTCCAGCGCCCATGCCAGCTAAGTTGGGGTCACAGCCAAAGCATCCTCTCACTCAGACACGAGATTTTGGAAACCTGCCCCCAACCCCCCCATCCCAACCCCCACGTTCGCCGGGCTCAGGGCACTGCCTGAACCCAGCGAGAGAGCAAGGCTGGTGCTCGGGCCACGTGCAGCAAGCCATGTCACTCTCATCCATCACGTCCAGCCGCACGCCCACCTGCACTGCGTGCCCCCTCCCGGGTCCCTGGAACCTCGTAACTCTTTCTTCCTGCAAGTTGGCCAGGCGAGCAGGTGGCACCCAGCTGGCCTTTCTCACTCTCTTCCTGCCCTTGCCCGGTGGGCTGCTACCTGGAGGTGTTGATTACAAGGCCCCCCCGTCACCACCCCTGTCCCCTACCCTGGCCCCCTGGGCTGGTGGAGCGGCTGAGAGAGAGCCCAGCTGCTGGAAGTTGATGGAGCATGCCACCTGTCGCTTAGATCGTGATTTGTTGGCTCTGGGGAGGGGCAATTAAGCAGACTTTGCATTTGGAAAGTTAAGTTGGGGGTGTGTGGTGCTGGGAAAAGGGGGTGCTATTAATCTCGCTGACAGTGCCAGGGTGGGTCAGATCCTGCCAGGGCGGGTCTCCGTGCACCTGGGTTTCTTTCGTTGCCGGCTGTCGTGACCGGCAGGGCCATGCCAGGCCAGGCTGGGGTTGGACTGGGGGACCTCTTGGTCCACCTCGCAGGCTGGAGATGGGGAGCCTTGAAGAAGCCGTCAGCCTCGACTGGGACCCGTCCTCCCCCCCCCCATGCTGACAGCTGAGAGTGGCTGTCAGCAGGGGCTTCCCCGGCTGTCCTGTCTAAGGGAGCCCCTGCACCTCCCCACACCCCTGTGTAATCCTGCTTGTGCTCTCATGGCCTTTGCCTCCCATGTTCTCCTGTTTGCTGGTTCGTCCACACACGGCCCGCCCTGAGATTAAGGCCTCGCCGCATCCTCTGCACGGTATCGCCTCAGCCCAGCACCACGGCCCTCACTAAGTGGATTGTGGACTTAAGTTATCTCTGGGCCCCAGTCAAATGAGATTGGCCTAGAGCCGCGGTTCTCCAAGTGGGGCCCTGGGCCACCAGAGGTCCAGCACTCGGGAACTTGTTAGAGATGCACATTTCTTGGGGGAGGGAGACGGCGCGGGAGGGCCGCAGTGGTGGAGGAGCCCCAGGTCTGATCCCCAGCACCAGGTGCTTCCTCGGACAGTTCCCGGTGGTGGCAAGGGGCGGTCTCTGGGCACCTGGAGGAGGAGGTGCCAGGAGGGCCTGGGTGGCACAGCAGCACGGCACACACTGTGTTCGCTCAACCTGGCTCCACCCCTGACTTCTCCTGGGGCAGCCGGAAGCCCCAGCTCTTCCGGGGTGGCCCAGGGACCTTCTAGGACTGCGGGGGGCCCACGCCACACCCCATCCTCAGGTCCTTGCACCGAAGTGACAGTCGGCTGAAAATTGCCGCTAGGGGCCACTCCTGAGCACTATTTGGGAGCCCCTCCCCCCCAAAAATAATAAAACCCAACAATGTTTGCAAAAGGAAAAAGTGTTCACTGCATCAACCATGCGTCGGAAACCACAGCTCCTCAAGAGGCACTTGAGGCAGGAAGGAACCAGAGAATTCCTCACTCCAGACAGGCTGGGGGCACCGTGGCAGGGCAGAGGGTTGGGGCACGCTCATCCGTCTGGAGGCGTCGGCCACCCTTGGCTCACAGGAGCCGCCGTGCCCACATGTGTGCTGTCCGGGAGCAGAGAGAGGTCGAGTGGTGTCTGAGGGCCCCACACGGCTGGAGGTGCAGCTTCCTGCAGGCGGGACCCAGTGGCACGGAGCAATTATGGCACTGCTGGACCAGGCTAGACCCCGGGGTGGGGCAGGAGAGTCCCCAGGTGCCCGGGGTGGGGGTGGGATGGTGGGAGAGTTTCCCAGGAACCCGGGAGAACTGACTTCCAAGCCCACTGCCCCCAGAACCAGGTGAGGGACCAGCCACCGACAGGCTCGTTGTCTCTAAGGGCCCCGTCACAGTGACTGCCCCTTCTGCGAGTGGCTGGGACACACAGGTTCTCTCACCCCTCCCCCACCCGTCTTTTCTCCTGTTCCTCCTGTGTCGCAGCCTGTGCAAGGGTCGGACACTCTACTCCGTGGTGAGGGACGCCAAGATCGTCTTGGACGTCAACAAAACGAGACAGATCGCCCAGGAGATTGTGAAGGTACCGGCGAGCCGGGGCCGTTGGGGACCACGGGCTGGGCTCCCCGGGAGTCAGAAGGTGTCAGGCCGGCTGGGACGAAGAATCAGGCGTGACCAGCCGCTCTCTGGCCTCTGCTGTGCCTCCGCCTTGTCCTCACACCTGGGCGTGGACGGGAACCCAGGGAAATGGTCCTCGTTAGGCCCCCTCACCCCTCGGGCCCGTCCTGTGTCCTCTGGCAAGCGTCTCATTCCTCAGCTGGGCTTGGGCTTTCATGTCCCGTTGGAAGCGACAATCTGAGCTGCCAGAGGAAACAGGTCGTGGCCTTGGGGTGCTCTCCTAGCCCCAGGCCTGGTGCAGATCCCCTTCGTGTCTCGTCCTGAATCACAGGGTGGGCACCCCCAACCCTGCAGGCAGGCTGAGCTGTCCGCCCAGGCCTGAGCTCTGCAGATGCAAAGAGCCTGTCTCCGGCAGATGGATTATTTTTCAGAGGACTCCAGAGGCCAGGGATGGAACGTCCCTTTCTCAGGGGACTTCACCTCGGCTGATCCCAGCTGCCCCTTCCCCTCTGGGGACAGCTGGTGGGAGAGGGTTCTTCAGGGGACCGAGCAGAGCGGTGGACATTTGCAGGTCACTGCCTGACCCCACCACACCTCCTTCTTCCTCCTGCCAGAAGCACCTTGAGGGTCCCATGGCGGTCTCTTTGGGGAGCATGTGTCCCCCCGGGGCCGGCTTGGTAGACTCCTGATCCCGGGCAACACCCTTCATTCCTTTTTGCTTCCTGCAGGGCATGGGCTACCTCCACGCCAAGGGCATCCTACACAAAGACCTCAAGTCCAAGAATGTTTTCTATGACAACGGCAAGGTGGTAATCACGGACTTCGGGCTCTTCAGCATTTCTGGGGTGCTGCAGGCTGGCAGGTGAGAGGAGCGGAGGGGCTGGGAGGGGGTCCTTGGCAGATTGGGGTGCAGTGGGGGAATACCAGAGTTCTACTCTGGGCATAGGGGCTTAGATTGCTTGGGGGACAGGGGGGCACAGGTGACTAATAAAATTCTCATGCCCGGCTCTTGCTCTGGGGTTCAGAGGGCCAGTCTCAAAGACGGTGACTTGGGAGACATCACACTGGGCACCGAGCATCCCAAAATCCTGCACTGTCCTTGGATGGGCCGGAAGGTGTCCCTGAGCTGGGGTGGAAGTTACCCAGAGTTTTCTGAGAATTCACTTTCTCCTAGTCCAGCTTAAGGGAAATCTGACCGCTTGGGGACTCTCTGGCAAGTGTGAACTGTGAATCTTGGAACACTCTGCAGGTCCCTTTCCTTCTCTGCAAGAAAAATAAATAAATGACAGGATGGTTGGAGGAAGGCGACGGCCTCGGGTCCTCGGGAGCCCTTTAGACGTGCCCCTCGCCTCCAGCACAGGGAGAGAATCCGCTGCAGAGATGGTGTAATTAGTATCGATTTGCATACATCTCCCCCAGTATAGCGGGGAGAATCATTAACCATCGTCAAGCAATTAACTCTCAGCCACTGCTCACCCCAGAGCAAGCCGCCCTGAGTTGACCATGTGAGACACAGCTTGATCCCACATAAACAGCCCATCACTCCGGGCCGCCCTCCGTGCCCTTTAATTGGGGGATCTGTGCCCGGGCCACACACACGCACTCCGGCTTCACATCCTGTGACGCCCCCTTTCCAGCCGCTCCGGGGACCTTTGACCTCCGAGGGTGCCCTCACACCACCTGCTTCAGCCTCTCAAGACTTGAACTTGCTGTTTCTGTTTGATGCAGAGGCAACAGACTGGGGTGGGGGGGCTGTTTGTCAGTTTTCAGTCCCCCTCACCCCCAAATAGCGCCATCGAAATGCCATGGTCCAGCACCTGAGATCAGAAAACAGCCATGAGCTCGGTGCTCAGCTAATAGACGCGAGGACAGAGCCCCGGACTCTGTAGTAGTCGGAAGCCCACTACTGCTGGGGCCTCTCAGCTGGGACCTGGATGGCGTGCGGGGAGGGACGTGGACGAGCCCTGGGCAGAGGGCAGATGAGGGAACTGCAGGACTCCCGGCTCTCTCTTCTTCCTGCTTCCTTGGGCCGGGGAGAGGAACAGGAAGTAGATGGCAGCACCAAGCCCAAGGCCCGGACAGCGCCATCCTCTCCCGCCCATGCCTGGCAGTCAGCACCAGTCTGTCCTGTGGGAGACCCCCAGAGAGGCCTGGAGGCCCGTACCCTGCTGGAAAGGCCCATTTCTCACCCACGCTGGCTTCCTGGGTGTCCTGACCTGTGGTGTCACTCACTGTGCCCAAGTCCTGTGCCTGAAAGCAGGAAGTCGTGACTGACCCTCCTGGCTTCTGCAGGGAGGTTTGCTCAGGGCAACTTTTGTGCTTGGGGTCGCTCACATATGGGTCCCATGTGGGTGCCAGCTATCGAGGGGTCTCATGTGAGGACCATCTGGGAGGAATCTTGCATGGGCACTGGGTCTCATGTAAGTACCATCCTGGGGGTGGGGGTCTCATGTGAGGACCTTCTGGGAGGGATCTCGCATGGACACTGGGTCTCGTGGACACCGTCCTATGAGGGGTCTCATGTGGGCATCATCCTTTGAGGGTCTTATAGTGCCATTTTCCAACTGGCATGACTCATGTGAGCACTACCTGATGGGAGAACTTGGAGTCCACTGGGGGCTTCCTCCGTGCCCCTCTGCCCAGTGGCTGGACCTCATCTCAGTAGGAGGCTGGCAGGCGCCTCCTGTCCCCACCTAACACCACAGGGCTTCCTCCCAGCAGAGTGGTCTTGGAGACCCCCGAGCCAACACTCATGGCGTCCAGGAGAAAGTCGCACCTTCCCCCTCTGATCTCCCAGCTCTGAAAGTCCTCGCTTTCAAACCAATGGTTCCTCCCTGTTCCAGCATCAGCGCTGGTTCTGGGAACAATATCAGCCTCCCAGGGCAGGGCAGGGCAGGGCAGCCTCTCATGCCCCTCCTCGGTGCCCCAAGTCCCGGGACTGTGGGCCTCGCGTCACATTTCCGCCCTCCTAAGGGGCGGGGAGCTGGGGGCCACCCCTGGCGTCGCTCGGGGGCTGCTCCAGGCTCCGAGCTTAGGTGTTGTCAGTTCAGGGGACCGGGCGGGATTCAACCCAAGCCCCCGGGCAGAGCATCCACTTTGCTCACTGCTCCCCAGCTACTTCCTGTGTCTGAGGGCAGGTCCAGACAGTCAGTGTCCTGAATACAGAATGGGGGCCCCCGGGATGGCAGCTGGAGACGCAGAGACACCCCTGAATACCAACCTCCTTGGGCCAGATGGGCAGCCTGGACCGGGCTGTGGGGACTGGGTTGGTTGGCCAGCCTGTGGGCATGCGAGAAGCAGGAACACACACAAACACACACACACACACATGCAAGCACACACACACAGTGTACACACATACACGCACATATACACACACATGCGTGCACATACACAGACACGCACACACACAACACACACACGCATGCACATACACGCATGCGTGCACACACATGCATGTGTACACACACGCACGTGCACACACACCCGTGCACACACACACGCACACACACGTGTGCACACATGCACACCCTCACATGCACACAGCATTCCCTCATTCTTTCCTCCAGCCAGGACTCCTCCACGTCCATCTGCTCAAACTGCCAGGAGACAGTCACACACTGGTGGGGGGTGAACCCCAAGGTCAGGGCGGGCGCTGGTGGATGAGGCCTCCTTCTCTGTCTTGAAACGGCCACAATCCTGTTCCACCTGAACCCTTCGTCTGGCCCATGTTTCTCCCTGGTCTTCTAAGTCACCAGTGAGATGGGGTGAGGTTCCACTGGGTGACCGCACAGACCCGGGGCCCCTCCCTGCAGCCCAGGATTTCAGCTGTGAATGTTCAAGACACGCTTCAGTCCCTCACCTCCTGTGATGGATGGAAGTAAAACCGCCTTTCGGTTTTCTAGAGCTGGACTCCCCTAAGCCTGGAGCCGCTCACCTGCGACTCAGCAGTGCATATGGACACTCACAGTTGCCTTCTCACGCTCCTGCCTTGAAGTTGAAAAGCAAGAGTCCAGCGGGGAGGGCACCTTGCCTTGCATGCGGCCGACCCGGGTTCAATCCTGGGCATCCCCTTGAGTCCCCTGAGCAGCACCAGGAGTGATTCCTGAGTCCAGAGCCAGGAGGAACCCCTGAGCATTGCCGGGTGTGGCCCAAAAAAGAAAATTTAAAAAAAGAAGAAAATCTAAATGGGCCCAAGACATCAGGACTTGGTTCGGAGCTTGGCAGCCAGATGGGCCTTCTCTCCAGGATGAGTCCAGGTCGTGCTCACTGTGATAAAGTCCCCTGTCCCTCCAGATGCTCACCTCATCATTTGGAGGCTCTGTGTGCGGGAAGACCAGCCCTCTGACTGTGGGTTTCTGGGGGTTCAGGGGTCCGGACAAGCCCCCTGGGTGCAGGCGCTCTGTTGAGCCACTCTTCATAGTCCTGCCCGCCCTGGGGATTGCGCTCGGGGTTGGCAGCACTGGGTGCCCCTGCGAGTTTGTGTGTGTGTGTGTGTGTGTGTGTGTGTGTGTGTGTGTGTGTGTGTGTGCACATGCCGCACGGGGGGGGGGAGGGGGTTTCTGCCTGGCCTGGGCTGGATGGGGCCAACCAGTGTGTTGAGCGTGTCCTGCACACACACAGACCCCCGCCCCCAGAGCATCCCGGAGAAGGTCCCCAGCCCAGCCAGCGCACAGCTGTGCTGGCATCATCGAGAAAGGTGCCACTTGGGATGCCAGCACTGTAGCGCCAGCCACCCACGGACTGCTATTAATCATAATAATAACCGGCATGGAGATGATTAGGGCTTGTCACTGCTGGGCCCATCGCCACAGGGACAGGACGCCCAGGGGGCCCGGCCAGACGCCTGACCCACTCCCGGTATGAACCCACGCCCACTGATGGTTCTCGTCCTCCGGGTGCTTCCAGGGCAAACCCTACTGCCCCTGTGGGTTAGAGGAGGGTAAGGAGGGGCGTAGCCAGAAAGGAGGAGTGCCGGAAGCCCCGCCCCTTCAGCGCTGCCAATCATACCAGGAGAACTGGCGGCTTAAGCTGCAGCCTGTGCTTTGAACTCGGGCCTCAAGTCTCTTTCTAAGTCTGCTCCTTCCCCCTCCCTCCCCTTTGGTGAAGCAGAATAGTTTTTGTTGAAACTTAGAAAGATGCGGGGATGGAGAGTCAGCGAGGAAGTAATATGTGCGAGAGAGAACAGGAATTTGACGAGCTGGAGAGAAAGTAGAGTGTGGAGGGTGTTTGCCTTGCTTACAGCTGACCTGGGTTTGATCCCTGGCATTCCCCTGAGTACAGAGCCAGAAATAACCCCTGTGCATCAGAGAGAGAGAGAGAGAGAGAGAGAGAGAGAGAGAGAGAGAACAGGCACTTAGCAGAGAGACACAGAGAGAAGCAAGCGAGATGTGTCAGGAGAACACGGCTCAGGGAGCAAGCCCGTCTCTAAGTCTTGACCGTGAGAAGAATCCGCCAGGCCGGGGAGAGGACACGGGGGGGGGGGGGGGGCAGATGGGCCAACATGCTTCCCATCACCAGGCAGGGCCCTGAGGGCCCCCAGTACCACTGGGTGCAGGCCCTGTTTTATAAACTAGCCATAGGTACTGTTTCTGTCAGCCGTTGAGTCCTGACCATGCCCCACACCTCGTGTTGTCTGGCCATGGACCAGCTCGGGAGGGGCACTGATGGGCCCATTTTGCAGTTAGGAGATGCGAGACTCAGTTCCCACAAGGTGGCACAGCCAACACAGCAGGTGGAACCTTCAACCCCCCTGTGGGTGTCCCAGTTCTGCAAACGGACTCCCTGGACCCTGCCCCAGATCAACAGCTTATAAGCCAAACTTTCTGGTGATTCTGGACTTTGTATTTGTAGAGAATTACTGGCTTTTCTATTTCCCCTATCGCCTTTTGATATTTTACTATAGAGGAACGTTCTTTGCTAAAACACAGAAAGACCTTTAATGCTGTGCTCCTAATATTTGGGAGTTGATTAACTCCAAAGTATACCTACACCTGGACATTTGTCATAACTACTTGACTCAGGCTTCTGTTGCCACAGTACCTAACACCCCACAAAGGAAGGGCCCCCCAGAAGTTTTGGCTTATAAGTAACCAAGACAGGCTTTGGGGATGTAACTATAAGAGGTAGAACACCAAGGAAAGGTTAAAGATAAACTCGGGGGGTTGGGGGGCTCATAAGAGCACTTGAGAGCACTCATAAGAGCTTCTCTGGGAGGAGGAAAAGGGGAAATCATTGGGAAACCCAAAACACTTAGGCTTGCTATTCAACAAACCCCCCAAAAGAAATAAAATGGAAAGTTCTGGGGGCTGGAACGATATCACAGCAGGGAGGGCATTTGCCTTGCATGCGGCCGACCCGGGTTCGATCCCCAGCATCCCATATGGCCCCTCGAGCACCACCAGGAGTAATTCCTGAGTGCAGAGCCAGGAGGAACCCCTGAGCATCGCCGGGTGTGACCCAAAAGGGAAAAAAAAAGGAAGGTTCTGCCTTGAGTGGCACTAGCTGGGCTCCTCGTGCTCAGTAAACCCAGCGGCCACTCGCTGCCCTGATGGCCTGCAGGTCCAGCCTGGAGAGCTCTGTTGGATGAAGCCCTGTGGCGATAGAGCGAGAGCTGTGACTGGGGGCTAAGAGAGTGCCACAGGGAGTCGGCCTGCCGGGGAGAGCAGCAGGACCCTCGCCCGGATTGTTTAAAGCTGCCCCTCCCCTCCCCTACCCGCTCTCCCGTGCATCCACTGGCATCCCTGGGAGGCCCGAGGCCTCTGTGTCCGTCCAGGAGGCCAGCCCAGGTAGGAAGCCCTGCTTCCGGCCGAGGACAGGCGCTGTGGGGCGGGGAGCCAGCATCCTTCCTCCCTCCGACTGTATCCTAAGGAACGAATCAACAGTGCGGGAGACGAGACCTGCTGGGAGTCCCAGGATGCTTGTGCGCTTTATGAGGAGGGGGGGAGAGCAGCCGGGCCACCAGGCAGGGGCTGATCCAGGGAGGCGCAGCTGCACGGATGAAAGGCGGCACGCCGGGCTCTGGCGTGGTCTTCAGCCACGGGGGACAGCAGAACTGCTGCGAGGGGTCCTGAGGGCAGGAGGAAACCCACCGCTGCTGGTGATGTTCCGTGAGCCCCAGCCAGCCCTGATCTTTCAGTGGATCTCTGGGGATCAGACCAGCAGCAGGAACCCGCCCGCCCGCCCGATAGCCCGTCGCTGCCGTGAGCAGCGAGAAGGGTGGGGTTGGCTAGACGAGGTGGAGAGGGGGAGCCGCCTCGCCAAGGGGCCTGCTGGGCTGTTGATGCTCCTCTCTCCAGACCAGCCCCGAGTGTCTCAGCCTCAGCTCCGGGCCCAGTGGGCACGTGCTGGAGAGCCAGCAGAGCAAGTGCAGGGCTTGGGGGCCAGGGCTGGGAAATGGGACCTTCCCCCCACCACGCACACCCCTGGGCGCTTAACGGGGCTCACTCTGCTCTTCCAGGCGGGAGGACAAGCTGCGCATCCAGAACGGTTGGCTGTGCCACCTGGCCCCGGAGATCATCCGCCAGCTGTCCCCCGACACGGAGGAGGACAAGCTGCCCTTCTCCAAGCACTCGGACGTCTTCGCGCTCGGGTAGGTGGCCTGGCTCGTGCGGACAGGCCCCACCCAGGACTTCCTTGGGGGTGGGTGGGGGATTGAAGGAGCTGGGGACCCAGTGGCCAGGACCAAGGTGGGTGGATTCGTGGGCGAGAGTCGGGGAGTCTAACTGGCCGTGCCTTGAATCCACCTGTGACCCTGGCAGGTTGCTTGGCACCATCCACTCATTCATTCGTGTGGTGTCTCGTTACCAGGTCAGCCGCACTGAGAGACTAACCAGAACCTTGTGGTCCGAGGCTGGCTTTAATGGGTTTGGTCCCCAGCACTGCATAGCACCCACGGGGGACACATAAACCATGGCACGTGCGCCCTGCGTGGCATCTCACCCGGGGTCCTTTGCCTTGAGCCTCCAGCCCAGCTGGCTGAGAATCACCTGGTGCGAGCCTCTGAGCCTCCCGAGCACTGCTTGGGGAGCACCCTCGAAAAAAAGATCTTTGGGCTAAAATGCTCTCTCGAGTTTCCGTGGCTGGGGGCTTGGTTCCTCTGGTTGAGGACTCAAGCAGTTGGAGTCTCCTCAGAGGGCTCGATTGGTTGAGGGTGGGCTGCGCATACGGCCAGGGGCCAGGGGTCTCAGTTCGCCCACCATACCCCTCTGTGGGCTGCCTGAGTGGGTTTCCCATAAGGCCTGGTCTCAGGAGCTGCCCGTGGTCACTCCTGCTCTGTTCTGTTTGTGAGAAGCAGGAAGCTAAGTCCTGCCCACTCTCAAGGCCAGGGGACATGTCCAGCATGACAGCTTCTCTGGTTTTGCTTTTGTGCTTTTTGGGTCACACCCGGCAATGCTCCGGAGAGCCTCACCCGGCTCTGCACTCAGGAATCACTCCTGGCTGTGGGCCCTGTGGGATGCCGGGGATCGAACCCAGGTCTGTCGTGTGCAAGGCAAATGCCCTACCTGCTGGACTATCGCTCCGGCCCCCAGCATGACAGTTCTGTAAGCATGAGTGAGACCAGTCTGAAAATTCAAAGAATGGACACAGACAAGAAGCGCAGCAAAAACCAGATTTAACGGCAGTCTCGCAAGATCAGGCAAAGTGTCCAAACATGCATTCTACATACAAACGCCTCCTCCTGCATTTCATCATATCCCATTGGGCCATTTGATGCCCTGCGCCCCTTGGGATTGGCTGTGTTTTTAACAGTGGGGGCATTGATGGTCTCCAAGCCCTTTGTTCTCCTGTCGCCAGAAGGTTCTGCTGGGGTATGTGCTTTCTGGCAGTACCCAGTTTTCACTCCAACTCCCCACCCCTCCTAACACCCTGTTTTCCCAAATACACTGTCGGCCGTGGCCTCTTTGTGCAGACGCGCTGCCATTGAGTTTTCATTCAGGGTTAAATGCTTTGCCGTGAAAAATTCACTGCTGAGTTTATTTCTAACACAAAGAAGGCGTATCGATTTGTGGGCATATCTTGAAACCACCCCAGGTCCTTACAAGCGTGTCTAGTGGAAGACAGACACGGAAACACTCAATTTCGACACAGTCTGATCAGTGCGGTGCTGAGGGTAAACAGAACCGAATCCAGCCAGGGGATGAGGAGAGAGGACTTGGGGGGAGGAGGTGACAGCGGGGGCTGAGTCGAAGATTGAAAGTTGGGTGGTTGGAGAGAGGGTCGGGCGGGGCGTTGCTAAGGGAAGGAGCATGAGAAACGGCACCAGGAGCAGAAAGGGGGCAGACTGGCTTTTGGAAGGGGTGGGGCGGGGGATGGATGGAGAATCTGGGAAAGGGGAGACTGAGGGACGAGAGATGGAAGTGGGGCCTGTCTCAGGGAGCCAAGTCCAGAAGCTGATGGTGGGGGCTGGAGCGATAGCTGGAGCGACAGCACAGCGGGTAGGGCGTTTGCCTTGCACGCAGCCGATCCGTGTTTGATTCCCAGCATCCCACATGGTCCACTCAGCACTGCCAGGAGTGATTCCTGAGTGCAGAGCCAGGAGTAACCCCTGTGCGTCGCCGGATGTGACCCAAAAAGCAAAAAAAAAAAAAGAAGAAGAAGAAGAAGAAGAAGAAGAAGAAGAAACTGATGGCCATGCGGTGGGGGGGGGAGGGAGTCACCCTACCCTCCTGTTCTGAGTTTTAGGGGGTCAGGGAAAGACGGCTTGGACGTCTGCCCTGGGGGGCTGAGATTGGGGAAGCATTTGGGGGTGGAAGATGCGGGCCAGGGTGACCTGTGGAGTGCGGAGGGGCGCTGGGAGCCGCCTTGTGTATCTCGGGGGCGAGTGGCATCATGCAGCCGGGCAGAGCCAGGGCAGAATGGTGTAGGGCTAGGGTCCTGCCCAGTGGGCAGAGATGTCTGATCCTAACACAGGGAGTGTGGGCAGCCTGGGGAGCCCACACCTGCAGGGTCAAGAAGGCAAGTGGGCAGCTGGGGAAAGAACTGAGGGCAGAGTTGCCAGGGATAGCACGGTAGTACTGTCCTCCCGTTGTTCATCGATTTGCTCGAGCGGGCACCAGTAACATCTCCATTGTGAGACTTGTTGTTACTCTTTCTGGCATATCGAATATGCCATGGGGAGCTTGCCAGGCTCTGCTGTGCGGGCAGGATACTCTCGGTAGCTTGCTGGGCTCTCCGAGAGGGACGGAGGAATCGAACACAGGTCGGCCATGTGCAAGGCAAACGCCCTACCCACTGTGCTATTGCTCCAGCCCGCAGGGTTTGAGTAATAGAAATAATGAGGCAGCCATGAGAAAAGAAAGGTGGGGGTCCACTTGCTCCACAGTAGGGGGGGATTCAGGACTTAACCCAGTGTGAGGGACCCCTAGGAAGCAGCCTGTTCCCTCTAGTCCCCCGTCCAGGCCTGTGGACACAGGTGGTGAAGCCTGGGCGCATCTATGCAGCGAGGGGGACCGAGACCAGGGGCCGGGACCCCCAGCCCATCCTCCCAGTGACCCTTTGAGGGGAGGGTGCTGGCACTGTGGGGTTCTCTGCGCAACTGCCTCCCGGACCCCTCTGGGGGCTACTGGCCCTGATTCGGGGAGGCCCCATCTTTATCTCGTTAGACATTGTTATCTGAGACCAAATTGCAATAATTAAGTTGGCATATTTTAGTATAAATTTAGCAAAGGAAAAAGGAATGTAATTAACCAAATGTACCAAAGTGAGTAATTGGTTTCCCACTGGGGTTTTTCGTCTTTGGCTTTTTTTTCCCCTTGTTTTCCCCCACCTCCTTCTAACCCCCCGCCCCCCCCCCCCCCCCCCGCACCCTTTCTCCTTCAAGTGAGTTTCTCTTGAAAGTTGGGTTGGAGAGGAAATTTTAATGAGGTTTTTCTGGCTGAATTCCGGGGGACCCGGCGCTCTTGGTTTCCTGCCAATTAGGTGTCGCTGTTGCTTGGGAACGCCACGCTCGGGCCCGAACTCGGCACTCGGGGACTTTGAACAGTGCGTTTCCCAGGCCCGTCTCGCAGATGCATCCCATGCCCCCTTCCAAGGGGCCCTTGCTGGCCCCGCTAGACAGGTGAGGAAACTGAGGCTCTGAGCCATGCCGTAGAACGATGACTTCACTCGGGACCTTCTTCCCTCAGAGCTGGAGGTGTGATTTCTTTGTTTCTGGATGGGTTTGCCCCCCTCCCCCACCATCTGTGCCTAGGCGCATCTCCTGGCCTGGGGATTCTGCTTGACAGTGCTCCAGGAGCACTGTGGCATTGGGGATCAAAGTGAGGTGGGTCACCTGCAGGGCAAGTGACCTCCCCACTACTATCACTCCAGGCTTCAGTCGCTTTCTGTTAGCACAGCAGTAGGGTGTTTGCTTTGCTCCTGGCTGACCCAACCAACCCGGGTTCGATTCCTCCACCCCTCTCGGAGGGCCCGGCAAACTACCTAGAGTATCTCGCCCACACAGCAAAGCCTGGCAAGCTCCCCGTGACGTATTCGATATGCCAAACACAGTAACAACAAGTCTCACAATGGAGACATTACTGGGCCCGCTCGAGCAAATCGATGAACAACAGGAGGACAGTGACAGTGACAGTGACCTTTTTCTGTTCAGGATTGAACCCAGGTCTCCTGCACCGAGGCAGGCCCACTGGGGGGTGGTGGGAGACGCGCCTCAAATGCTTGGCGTGGCTGAGCTCCCAACACCCCCTTCCTGACTGTCACAGGGGTGGACCCTGCGTTTGTGCGACCACCTCCCCCAGCATGGCCACCGCACCACATTCAGCAGCGCCTCCTACAGGATTCAAAGTGCACACGTCATCGAGGGTGCTAAGAAGGGTGGGGAGTGTCCCCCAGGGTAGCCGAATGGCCTGGACGCAGTTCTATAGTCTAGTGAGCGAGTTCAGATTCTAGATGCTTCTCTTTCTTGCTCTGTGACCCAGGACACAATACAGTGCCACCTCGAGCCTCAGTCTCCTCCTCTGTAAAATGGGGCCAGTCCCGACCCAGTCTTTAAAATGCCTGTTCTCCTGGAGCCAGGAGATGATTCAAAGGGCGAATGCATGTGGTCGGCATGCTCAGGTCCCAGGGTTAGTCTGCACCACGGTGGGACCCCGGAGCACACGTGACCAGGAGCAGTCCCTGAGCACCAAGCTGGAGAATAGCCCCTGAGCTCAGCCGGGGGGGCCCAAAGGACAACAAGATGTCCTTTCTATTATTCCTTGGGTCCCAGGAAGCATTCAGGTCAGCAGATAATTGACAACATAGCTTGTTGAGCCCATGTTCAAAGGGGGAGGGTCCGGCGCTGTGCACAGGGGCCATCAGGGGAGCACCAGGGCTAATGGGGGAGCATCAGGGTCATTGGGGGAGCATCAGTGCTGATAAGGGAGCACTAGGGCCATTGGGAGAGCACCAGGGCTGATAGGGGAGCACCAGAGCCATTGGGGAGCATTGGGGCCATTGGGGGAGCATTAAGGCTGATGGGGGAGCACCAGGGCCATCACGGGAGCTCCAAGGCCATCGGGAGCACCAGGGCTGATGGGGGAGCATCAGAGCTATTGGAGGAGCACCAGTACCATCAGGGGAGCATCAGAGCTGATGGGGGAGCACCAGAATTATTAGAGGAGCATCAGGGCTGATGGGAGAGCACCAGAACCATTGGGGGAAGCACCAGTTCCATCAGGGGAGCATCAGAGCTGATGGGGGAGCACCAGGACCATTAGGGAGCACCAGGGCTGATGGAGGAGTACCAGAGCCATTGGGGAGCATCGGGACCATTCGGGGAGCATCAGGGCTGATGGGGGAGCACCAGAGCCATTGGGGAGCACCAGGGCCATCAGGGGAGCACCAGAGCCATTGCGGGAGCACCAGGGCTGGCAGGAGGCACAAGCATGCTAGTCTTGATCGTGACTTCCTCGGGCAGCGCCCGGGATGCTGAGTTAGCCAGTGGGGGACTGGCTGGCGTGGCTGATGTCATGGGTGCTGAGGTTTCAGAAGCTCTGAGAAAGGCAGTCAGGTCCCAAGCACACCTCATAGCGAAGTGTTCCTGATTGGAAGGATCTGATAGGTTACAGGAGGACGGGAGGAGGGGAGGGTTGAAATATTTTCCATGTAAATGAACGGAACTAGCATTCCAGACCCAGAATAAAACCTGCCACATCCTACCCGCTCGGAATGCCCAGCTTTCAAATAACGAGTGCGCATGTGAGAGCCGGGTTGGGGTGCTGGGGAAGGGGCGGTGGTTTGCATTGGAAAAGCAGCCGCGAGCGAGGCCTTTGCGCTCCCCCAGGGATCCGGAAGAGCCCAGAGGTCAGAGCATCGGGAGCAGAAGTTGTTTCTCATGCCTCCCTGGGTTCACACGTGGCTGATGGCTCAGAGCTTCGGCAGTGGAGGGGAGGGGAGTGGGGCTCCCCCGACCCCTGTCGCCTTCTTCCACCACAGCACCCCAACTCCTCTCTTTTCTCCCCACCTGACAACACCCCAACCTCTGAGCATCGCCACTTCCCACCTCAGGGGCTTTGCGGGCAAAGAGGAAAAGTGAAGGGGAGCCTAGAAGGTCCGACCCGTCCCTCTGCTGAGTGAAGAGCATTTCTCAGTCCTCCCATCAGACGTGCACAGAGGGTCTTGGGGAAGTGGCGTCCGAGGATTGCCTCGGTCTCTTGTGCACCCGTCTCTGGATCCCAGGAACCTCCCCACTATTGCCATTCTGGGGCTCCCCGCCGCCCAGACCTGCCAGCCTCTCTCTGGCTGTCACCCCCACTCTCGCTAGAGCAAGCCCTCCCTCAGCCATGTCATCATCAGTCCTTCTAGAAGGACCCTTCTAGATCTTTCTAGAGCTGTCTCAGACCCCCAGCATCCATCCCTCCTGGACAGACACTCTCCCCCTCAGTCTCACAGGCCGAACATGCGTCTGGCTTCACAGAGGCGGGGAGGTGAGGCCACGTACCCAGTGCTGGTCCTACAGCATCAAATCAGGACCATAACCCAAGTTGGTCCGATTCTCATGACTCGCTGAGGATTGCCTAGGCTGGGTCCTGCCTAGAGAACATGATTAGAGAAGAAAACGCCCCCACCCCCAGCCCGGCTGAGTCCCAGGGGTGGGCCCATCAAGACATTTCACTGCATCTCTCTCTGTCTTCTCTCGAGACACATACATATCACGGTGGTGTTTTTGAGAGGATAATATCAACCTGGATTTCACGGCATGATTGTCTCAGATTTTATGCCTGATTGTGAGAGAGCAGCAGAAAAGTGGAGTGTGATCATCATGGGATGCTTTAAAAAAAAATGTCGGGGCTAAAGGGATAGCAGAGCGGACCAGGTGCTTGCCCTGTGCACTGCTGACCCAGGTTTGAGCCCACGCACCCCGGGTGGGCGCCTGAGCCTGTCAGGAAGGATTCCTGAGTGCAGACCCGGGAGGAAACCTCAAGCACAGCTGGGCATGGTCCAAAAACGAAACCAAACAAAACACCGTGCCAACAATAAACGATTAAAACTCATTTATTGCTAAAGTGTCGTTGGTGCCCTATTAGGATGCAGGAGAGACTCGTGAATTTGTGCTATAAACCTGGCGACGATAAACACAGGGAAGTGGTTGTATCCCTCTTTGTTCATTTAAAATTATGCAATAAAGGTCGGGAGATGGTACAGCAGCTGGGCCACTCGCTATGCGTAGCGTGTCCAATGCCCAGCACCAGATGGTCCCCTGAGTATCACTGGGAGACCCCTGAGCACCACAGGAGAGGTCTCTGGAAGCCCCAGCACTGCCAGAGTGACCCACATAATCCTAAGTACCGCCTGTGCCGGGCAGCATCACATCCTTGGACCCTTGCGTTGACCACCACTGCCTTTGCACACTCACAGTCCTCCTGACCACCACATGGAGAATCCAAAAACCAACCAAGCCAAACAAAGCATTGCCTTAGGATTTTTTTTTCCATAATGGCAGCATTTCTTTGTGAGACTTAACTAATAGGTGTCATTCCACTTCAGTCTGCTGGTTGATCAACATCTGTAGGAGACAGGGAACCGGCCGTTGTTATTGAACAAATGCCTTGCTTCTCTTTGCTTCCCACATGGTACCTGGCCCTCTGGAGAGCATCCTAGCCCAGGCATTGTCTCCCTAATCATCCTCCCAGAATGGTTCCCTCACCTTAGGACCTAGAGGCAGAAAGCCTGGCCACTCTATTAAACTACTCAGCTCCTCGGTTTTTATTTACTTGAATGTGGACCCCAGAGGAGGTGCCCGGACATGCAGAACTTCTGAGACTTGGGGAAAGTGTTCGGCAGAGTGCCAGCCCTGCAAGGCCAACTCCAGGGGGTGGTTAGCCAGCGGTGAGAGCGCACAGGGTCCCCAGGGACACGTCCCACCCATACCCCTTCTTCCACTCTGCCCACAGCACCATCTGGTATGAGCTGCATGCCAGGGAGTGGCCTTTCAAGACACAGCCAGCAGAGGCCATCATATGGCAGATGGGCAGCGGGATGAAGCCCAACCTCAGCCAGATTGGCATGGGAAAAGAAATCTCGGTAAGTCCTGGATAGTGCAGGGTCTGGGGGACAAGGTTAGCAAGGGACACAGTTCAGGGCCTCTTTCATGTCTGGAAGGTTACAGATGCCTTCCCAGAAGGTCAGGAAAGCACACACCACACCCTCTCACCACCCGCCAACCCAGCCCCTGCCTGCAGCTTAGGGTCCCACCATCAGGGGCACTGCATCATGGCCGAGTTTTCCTTAGCTTTGATTTGCTAAGTCAAAGGAAACCAGTGAGTCGCTCTTCCTGATACTCTTTAAAGCTATCCATTAAAACATCAGCTATATTGATGAGACTAAGTTTATGTGCCTCCACTTAAAAAAAAATTTAAGGCATCCTCCAGTTTAGAGCCATCTGAGTTGAAACAGGGAGACCTGAGTCTGAATTACTAATGGTCCTCTAAAACACCATAGGGAGAATCCCCTCCCACCCAGAAGTCCGATGATTCAGAGAATGTGGATCTGATATGCTTTGAGTGATTATCTGCCCCTCTCGGTTTTCTTTCTCCGGGAAGGACATAGCTTACAGGCTCTCTTCCCCCTCTTGACTTGAAGACTCTGGGTATTAGGATGAGAAGGGGGGGGGGCTCAAGAATCCCTTTCTCCCCTCCCCCCGAGGACAAGAAATGCCCTGAAACTCCTGGGGAAGTATCATGAATCTCAGTGCGTACCAGGATCTCTGGGGAAAGGCTTACCTAGTTTGATGTATAGACTCAGCAAGTCGATTAATAGAAGGACGGGTGGGTAGATGATTGGTGAAGGATGAGTGCATGAACATTGATACATCTGCATGGATGGATGGATGGATGGAATGGAATGGGTGGGTGGATGGATGGGTGGGTGGATGGGTGGATGGATGGGTGGGTGGATGGGTGGATGGATGGGTGGGTAGATGGATGGATGGAATGGGTGGATGGATGGATGGATGGATGGATGGATGGATGGATGGATGGATGGAGAGACATATGGAAGGGTGGGTGGCTTGATGGATGAGCAGATGGGTGGGTGGGTACGTGGATGATGCAGCAGTATGGAAGTGGGGCAAATAGACAACACACAGATCCAAAAGGGTGCAGGATGATCAGGATGTGGCCATCGGTTTCTTTCAGGACATCCTTCTCTTCTGCTGGGCCTTTGAGCAGGAAGAGAGACCCACCTTCACCAAGCTCATGGACATGCTGGAGAAACTGCCAAAGCGGAACCGCCGTCTGTCTCACCCCGGGCACTTCTGGAAGTCTGCAGAGTAGGTGCCCCGCGCCTTGGCCCTCCAGCCTCTGCCCTGACAGCTCCTTCCCTCCGGGCGCCCACCTCCCTGCCCACCTGCTTTCTGTTCAGGGCCGTCGACGACTCTGCTATCTGGACCCCAGAGTCTGTCGGGCAAGTCCTGGGCTTCTCTTTGCCCAACTTCCTCACCAAGGTCAGCGCCCCTAGGGGTCCAAGCAGCGCGTGGTGTGGCAGGTCCTGACCCCCACAGCCCACAGGCCAGCTATCGTATGCACCCCTCCCCGACCTGGCTTTGGGGAAATCGCCCCCCGGGCCCAACTGTCCCCCATGCTGACACTGTCCCTGATGTCTGCAGCTCTCCCCACCCCGCCTCTGACTCTTCACGGAGACATCCTCCCCGCACCCCGCAGCCCAGGAGGAGAGGGCGGGAGCCCGGGACAAGGGGGGATGGGCTGGGCACTTTCCCTGTGGGCTCTCCTGGCTCAGGGTTAGGAGGGGCCAGAGCAGCAGCAGCGGCTGTGCCTTGATTGTTGTGCCCGGCCCACAGGGTGGGGGTCCCTGCCACCATCCGTCCCCTGTCCCTAAGGCGAGTCGGCAGTGGGCCCTGACCTCAGGGACTGCTTATCAATGGGCTGCTGGGAAAGGCTTCTTCAAGATGGTGGGAAACGTGATAACATAGGGTGCACGGTGGGTACAAGGCGCTGCTGATGGAGGGAGGAAGCCAGGCCCCCCTCCAGAGGGAAGACGGTGCCAGGATGACATGGCTCTCCAGGGGGCAGCTGGAACCTCCAGAGGGCCAGGAATCGCCAGGAAGAAGGTGCCCCCAGAAGGAGGAGCGAAGGAGGGACGGAGATCAGAGGGGAGGCTCCAGCCGACCCGTGTCACGGCTGGGCAAGGACTCAGGCTGTGTTCTAGATGCACCAGCGATGGTGGGAGCTGAGGGCATCCGCACCTCGCCCTTCCCTTCTCTTCAGCCCCGTGCATTGCCCAGAGTGGATCTTTTCTCGGGGCCTGGGGGTTATTCTACGCTGCCTCGGCATGGACACTCTGACCTGCTGCTCTAGCCTGTGCTCATCAACCCTCTTCCAAGTGTGCGCCACTGGTGGCCCACAGCACTGTCAGGGCAGTTCAGTGAGGAGTCCTGAGGTTGCCTGGGGGTGCGGGCAGGGGCTTCTGTGCCCTGTGCCGTGACGAGCAGGCGTGACTGGTGGATTGGAGAGTCTCTCTCCCCGAGTCCCCAGCAGTCCCTCAAGTCCAGGGCCTGGTGCCTTCCCGGGCCCTCCCCCGACTTCTCCCTCCTTCACATCTGCTGCCACTTGCCCATATCCACACAGGGTGCCGGGGCCGGGAGGACAGGCCAGAGACCCCCCACAATGCCCCCCAGGCCTGGGCTTTGCTCTCTTTACCGTATCAGCCCCACTCGCCAGGAGACGGTCCTTCTGGCCCTGGGGTGGACTTTGGAACTTTCCAGAAGCCACCTGGGTGACAGTCGGGCCAGAATCTGGGCCTAGTGAGGCCTTCCTAATCCTCAGGGGCCGAGAGTGTCTGTATCAGCCTGGCTCCGATGGCCCGGCTCCGCCCCTCTGACCACCACCCAGGCCTTAAAGTGGCTTCAGGATCCAGTCAGACACAGCCTATCGCGAGCTAGAGGAAAGAGGGGCCAAGCCCGCCTTTCTGAAAACCACGGCTCAGAGGGGACCCATGTGATAGTACGGCTGGGAGGGCGTTTGCCCTGCACACGCAACTCACCCAGGCTCGATCCTTGGCACCCCATAGGGTCCCCCAAACCCTGCCAGGAGTAGGCCCTGAGCACAGAGCCAGGAGTCAGCCCTGAGCCCTGCTGGTGTGGCTAAAAACCAATTTAAACTTTTTATTTTTTAAAAAATAGTTTTAAATCAGATGCCACAGCTCACAAGACCTACAGATCAGCCCCAGGGGTTGTCCAGATGCAGATCCATTCGGTGTGTCTGAGCGGGCCCCCAATCCCCGTCTGCAACCGTCTCTGCGGTGATGCTCCTGCAGAGGGCCGTGCGGGCCCCTCCCTAAGTAGGAAGCCGAGCCAGCTGCCAGGTGCCCCGGAGGTGCCCTGTCGGGTCTGCCCTGTGATGCCGCGGCCTAGGAGATGTTGGTGTCGTCACTCCCCACACTGCCAGCAGCCTGCTGTGCAGGCAGGAAACGTGTCGTGATACAGTGGCCGAGCCGGGTGCTTCCTGCTTTTCCCACTTACCACTCGCTCCCCGTTTCTGCCACTCTGGGCTGTGGCTTCACACGGCTCTGCATGCGTGAGACTCACTGCAGCCACCACCAGTCATCACGTCGCCACTCCCCCCCCAAATAAATGACACCCCCACGCAGGCGTTAAGTCTTTATGGGACTTTCATTCACCGAGTGTACAAGTTGCCCCTTTCCAAAAGCACATCTCTGTGGGCTCAGGCGCCTATGGTATTGGAGATCACGGTAGAACACACCACGTTACTGATGCTAACGACAGCGTCCATGAGTCCGTAAGTCAGAGGTTAGTTGCATGGCATTCTAGACATTCTTGTTTTGTTTTGGGTCACATCAACGCTCGGGGGTTATTCCTGGCTCTGCACTCAGGGATCAGTCCCAGCAGTGCTCGGGGGACTCTGTGGGATGTTGGGGGTCGAACCTGGGTCTGCCTCGTGCAAAGCGAGTGCCCTCCCCGCTAGATGATCGCGCCAGCCCCTCTCTGCATTCTTAATACTGCAGTAGAATATACACTTTTTTTCAATTGAATCACTGTGAGATACAGTTACAAAGCTTTCATGTTTGAGTTTCAGTCATATAGTGATCGGACACCCATCCCTCCACCAGTGCACATTCTCCACCACCAATGTTCCCAGTAACCCCCCTTCCCAACCCCCTCCCCGCCTCTATGCCAGACAATCTCCCTCTTGCTCTCTCTCTACTCTTGGGCATTACGGTTTGCAATGTAGATACTGAGAGGCCATCACGTGTGGTCCTTGACCTACTTTCAGCACACGTCTCCCATCCCGAGCGATCCCTCTAACCATCATTGTCTTAGTGATCCCTTCTCTATCCCAGCTGCCTTCTCCCCTTTGCTCCTGAGGCAGGCTTCCAGCTACGGGGCTGGCCCTTGATATACACTTTTTTTTTTTTTTTTTGCTATTTGGCTCACACCCAGTGATGCTCAGGGGTTCCTCCTGGCTCTGCACTCAGGAATTACTCCTGGCGGTGCTTTGGGGACCATATGGGATGCTGGGGGTTGAACCCGGGTCGGCCGCGTGCAAGGCAAACGCGCTCACCACTGCACTCTCTCCAACCCCTATACTGTCACTGTCACTGTCACGGTCCTCCCGATGTTTATCGATTTTCTCGAGCGGGCCCAGTAACGTCTCCATTGGAGACTTTTGTTGTTACTGTGTTTGGCATATCGAATACATCACAGGTAGCTTGCCAGGCTTTGCCGCGCGGGCGAGATACTCTTGGTAGCTTGCCGGGCTCTCCGAGAGGGGCGGAGGAATCGAATTCGGGTCGGCCCTGTTGGCTGCGTGCAAGGCAACAGAACAGGCTGTGCTATCGCTCCAGCCCAGCCCCTATACGTGTACACATATTTTAAATTCTCATGTTAAGTAAGTCTCATAGGTGAGCCAGCAGCAGACATTCATTGCGTTTCCGCTGTGACCTCACTGTCTGTCCTCAGCGCCCGGTGGTCATTGGACTCCTCCCATGCCCTGTCTCCCCAGCCCAGCCCTGGGGGCTCCTCCGCAGCCCCCCTCTGCAGCTGCCCGTGCCAGATGCTGCCACCAGGCAGGAGTGTTTGCTCTGCCGCATCCCTGGCTGCAGCCTGAGCTTCTCTCTCTCCTCTCCTCTCCCCACTCCAGGCTCTGATCGTCTGATCAAGGGACGGCGCTCAGCGGCCTCGGCTCTCCCGAGCCACCTTCTCCTTCCCTGCTCTGCCCTGCGACGGCTCCGGAGCCCCCCGGGGCTCACCCCCCATGGGTGCCCACCCCAGCCCGGCCTGGGCACACGCACGCCCAGCACAGCGGCCTCCCTGCACCCCGGACCTGCGCTCCTGGACTTCAGGGATCAGCCAGGGAGACCTGGACGTGACCAGAGTGGACAGGGTGGTGCCCGGGCTGCATGGGCAAGCGCGGGGAACCGTTCGTGCGTCCCTGCGCGTTTGCGGCGTGCTCCTCCCGCAGTGCTCGGCCCCGGGATCGCAATCCCCCCACTCCGCGCCATGGGGGCCCATGTGTCTGCGGGGTGCTCTCTGGGAGGAGCTGAGCACCAGCCTGGGGCCAGATCCGGGCGGTTCCTTCGCAAGTGTTGCCAGGCCCATCGGGGTGCGGGGCGCTTTCCAGCTTCTGGGTCTCTCTCGGGGGGCCGGCTCCCCCCACGTCTGCCTTGTTCTCCAGTTCTGTGGCCTCGCACGTCCCTCGGGCCCCTGTCTTTGGGAAAGCACGGTGGCTCTGGCCAAGATGACTTTGGGGGTTCCTTCTGGTATCCCCCCGTTCTTGGACAGGAACTCAAGGACATGCTCTGCCATGCACCCCAACTCAGGGTGCCCGCCCGCTGGAGGGAGGCAGGGCCCCAGATCCGTGAGTGTGTGCAGGGTCACCCATGTGCAAAGGGGGCTGCCCTGCCCCCCACCCCACTTGCGTACAAGAAGTCCAGCTGTGGTGCCTGGCAGTTGTGGGTTCGAGTTCTCACTCGAACCCGGTGCCCAGTTGAAAGTGTGTGCAATGCCTGGCACCCCCCCACCTCCCTTCCTGCCCCACCTCCACCAGCTGCTTCACCCACCCCTCAGGGTTATGTGTTCACAGGGAGGATGCCGAGAGCCAGGGGTGCCAGGAAGAGGGGGCGCCTCTGTCTTCCTTCCCTCCAGCCGGGACCCCCTTTCTCCAATCTGCACCAAAGGGACCTTTGCCCAGGACCACCCATAGCCACTCTGTCCCTGGGGCCTGGACAGGTCGTGGTCTCCTGGCCGTGATCTTACCCAGGGGAATTCCTCTCAGGGCTGGAGGGCTGAAGCACCAAC